TCCATAAACTTTGTTAGATCTTTTATTGCATATGTTGAACTGGATGCCTGTAATTTCCAATTCCATATTGGTTTTGAAATGTATAAATATACTGAAATTCTCATAGGATACAAATGGGGTAAGTAGATTCAGCCGATACCTAAACCACTTGGTATTCCATTGCTACTTATCCAACATGGATACATGATCAAATCCAATCTGCTAAAAGTGCCAAACACCTTGTCCTAAGGCTACATGTATATAAGAGTGAAATAAGCATGTGGTGAGTACAAAACGGTCCACTGTGAACATTTAACTAGCACTGTGCAAAATAAGTGCTTACTGGCACTACGATTCTTTATGTAGAGACAGAGTTACAAAAACTGCCGAGAGATGGCGATTGACTGCATGAGTCAGCTTTCTCTTAATTTGTCTTAATTTCAGGAACCGAAGAAGAGTTTGAAATAGGAGAAAACATTGTTTTTAGGTAAATTTTTATGCCTTTTTGTTTATATCTTAGACGGAAACAATTCTTGTAAACATGTCAAAAAATGACGACTCAATCGCAGATACCATTTGACCTACACGTCTTGGACTTAATGGAAATTAAATGGAACGAATACACAGACAATGGGAACCTTTTTTGTAATGGTTTAACAGAATTCGTTAACAGTAATTTTGAATTTTCTATCTTGCCACTACCTGTTATTTGGTCCTTCAGTTACTTAAAAACATAATTTGTCTGTATTATCTTTAGTTATACGATAAATCGTGATGAGAATAAGAAGATATTTATAATAGATGTTAGTGGAATAATTAAAGCATTAGGTACAGATGTAATTAATGGTAAAATAATAAATGGAATGGAGATACCAATACCTGTCTGTAATGAGAACTTTACTTTACCAGGTTTGTAGTGCTTCAAATTGAAGTTTTCCAAATCCGTCAAATTCTGGAAGGAGCCCCCTTAAGTACCAGAAAATGAAGGTACCAATCGAGCTCACTAGTTATGACTTGAAGATCCTAGCTTACTATAAACTTCCTAGGCGTAAGACAGTCCTCAACAGGGATATTTTCATTATTTTGTACAGTTCTTGCCTTTCTTTGACTCTTCCGTGAGTCTTTTTATTGTCTTGCTGTGAAATGATTTATAGTACATATCCACGTATTATGGTTCACTTTGCCTTTATAGGTGGTGGTTCGATGAAAGATCTTTCATTAGCTCTGAATGGTAAACTATCTGATGCTGCTGTGGATATTTTGTTCAAAAAATTTGGACTTGATGTAAGTCTTGAATTTAAAGCAATATAGCTCTAATAGCCCGACAAATCTGGTCCTATCCAGTTCGTCCGATGTGATATTCGGATGTGATATAGGAACTGTGTTGAAATTCCTATTCAAAAGTAGTAGTTTGTAAACTGTAAACAAATTAACTTCTTGTTTAATAGAGATTTTAGAAGTTTTTTTTCTCCTTCAGAAAATCTTCACCAACCAGGATTGTAGTGTTCCAGTATCTCCAACAGGTAGGATCTCTTATTCTGATATATGTGTACTTTTGCAATAATTAAGATCTATTCTACCATTCCTGAAAGCTACACACATTCTGTCACACCGCCTTTCCCAGGCGTGGAACTCGTTGATTAGACGTTGATTTCGGCCTTAATGTGAAATTTGTGGTATATTGCCACACTTACAAGTCAAAATGACGACCACATTTTAACCCTGAACATGGTTCAATTTAAATTGAAAAATTTGATCAGCAATTTATCACACCAAATTTTAGTTTTGTTTAATCAAGTTCAATTTTTATTCTAATTTCATAAAGATTCAGTAGCAATTTAGCATGTTCCAGTAGTAAACCTTCAAATATATAATTTGATTTGATTCGCAGATCGTCGTCATGAATTTTAATTTTGACTAGTTCAAGGAAATATTGGATTTTGAATCGCTGTCTGCGATGCGATACTGCTTAAATTGAACCCTGTGGTATAGTCACATTATTAATGTTTTCCAAAATAGCCTTCATATGTCTTAAATTATTACAGATTGTCCTTGGAAAATTGATGTAGAGAAATATCTGCCAAAATCTCTCCAAGATAAAGTAACTTGTGGAATGATGGATGATTGTTTTGGTGTAAATTGTTGTGTAGATTTCGAAATGAAATTGCCATTTTTTAACAAAGTCGTACATAAAAGTGTAGATGTTTTTGTATCTTTTGATCCATGTGAATTCCAACTAGAGGTTGGTTTTGGACAAGCTGTGCATTCTGAGAAATTACTTTCCTATCAATGGGGTAAGTTGATCTCTCCAAAATGCCTATTTGATACCAAAACCCATATTATTTAGGAAGACAAATCATTTTTGTATTTTTTGTTCCGTCTGGTCTTAAGATATATTCTAGATTTCTCAATTATTCTAAGTGATCATTTTTGTTTACTATTTACGGAGAGATATCAGGTTCTTGTAGCTACGAACCGATATAAAGACGTTTGGACAATAGGTAACAGTTTGGGATCCTGATCACTAATAAAAACATAGAACAAACTATCCTTTCTTTAGTAAACGATCTCAGAGGAGCTGAATGTGATTTTAAGTTGACTTGATGTGATCTTGCTGTCGTAGTAGATAAATATTTTGAATATTATTTCAGATACACAAACAACAATATCTTTAGGCAATGGAAATCCTCCGCCAGTAACACTAACGTAAGTCTTGAGATTTTAATTGTCATAGAAATTAAGCATTTTAGCTTCAAAAAGACCCTTTACAAATCCATTAAATGACGGAACACAATTTTATGGTATACTACTCCTTAGTTTTATTACACACGACTTTTCAACAAGTAGTATACGAAAGTAGTATGAAATTGTGTATTAATTGTATTTAATGTGATCTCTACCCCTAAATGTCGCTAAAGGATTATTTACAAATCTAGTACTTAGATTATGATGACTGCATATTGAACAAATTGAAGTAATGATAATACCTTTACAAAACGATTTTAATGAATAGAAATTTGCCATATTTGCGAAATAATGTTTCTATTTGTTTTCAGACTGACCATCACCAGGATTGGCCAAGGCTTTAATATAGATCTAAGTGTAATGGTCTGTATACCAGATGATGGTTCTTCTTTTTGTTTTCCTGAAGATGGTTTAAATCTGTTAAAAGATGTTCACATACCACTTTGCGATGCCAGGGCACTTGGTAATCTTGCTAATAGTGGTATGTTTGTTGAAAATAACGGTTCTTTAATATTTTTTATACGCCCACACGTAATATGGGCGTATATTGTAATTGATTTTCTTTATGGGCGTATATTGTTATTGATTTTCGTGATGATCGGATAATTTTTCACCGAAATATCGTGTCTGACTTGACGTTTTACTCTATTAGCTATATTGTGCAACTCGTGCTCACTCTACAGGCTACAATTGTTTACAGATTCTTTTGATTTTTATTTTGTGTGTCAATGTCATTATGAAGATGATCCCTATCGATTTTGGCGATGACCGGATAATATTTCACCGAAATATCGTGTCTGACTTGACGTTTCACTCTATTAGCTATATTGTGCAACCCTGTAGTCACTAAAGACTGTTTAATCATTTCTGACAGCTGCCAGTGGGCGTATGTTACCTTGCCTGGCAAGCTATCTTTTCATAATATTGTTTTGCTTTAACTTCTAATGTTTTTGACAATCGAAAACAAAATCTCGGGTGCGCCACTAACTAATGTTAATGAAAGCCTACTAAAACAAATATATTAACTTCAAGTACCCGAATGAATGCAGGTAATATCTTCAACATCAACTACAATGCCGAGAGATGATACCAACTTTTGTGTGCTTAACATCCTTGTGAAGCTTATCTGTCAATTTTTATGAAGTCTTTGGCAAGTCAATCAAATGCTTCATGAACTATTTCAGATTTCAACCTAGAGGAGTATTTGAAAGGTTTGAAGCTTGAAGCTGGACAGAAATTAAAAAAATCTGGAGCTAAATATATTTTGAATAAATTGGGTATAACACCATATTTACTGGATGAAAGATGTGATATCACCCGCTCGCCATATTCCTCAAATATTGATGGATGGAAAAATGGTAAGAATTAAAATGTTTTTTTTGTTATCCGACTCCAAATCAATGCACAAGAATAAATATGAAATCTGCCACTAGAATTTACATTATTTGACTTTGCTGAAACCCTGAATGCTAAAGATAAAGAGACAAAGCAGCCGTTCTTTAAATTTATTTAATCATTATTTATTTCAGACTGTCCAAAGTCACTCAAACCACTTCCCAAACTTCCAAAAGGACTGGTTTGCCACCTTGATGATACGTGTACCAAGATAGATTGTTGTTTCCATATTGAATTTTTGGACACCAGCTTCCATGCTTCACTCAATTTAAATATGTGTGACTATGTTTTGGAAGCGTCCATTGAGAAAGAAAAAGTCAAATTGCCGTTGTTGGGTAATGAGTATGATTTAGATAAAGGTATATATTTTATTCAATATTTTTATTTTCAAATTCTTCTTAAGATAAAGGTTTTCTTGTCGATGTTATCTTTCTTCTTGGATTGTCGGTGGTTTCTGCAATCCCTGAAAACCTTTTAGAGGGCCTGCTCCTGAATTCCAAGCGCTAACTTTTGTTCCACGGGTATTAAGTTGTTTAATTGTGAGGATTATTTTTGATATTTTTATTCCTAGGTATAACCAGTAGCGTGCAGATCTCCGATTTTTTGGTTGTAAGGTATGTTCAAGTTACTATTTTTTTAGTACGAAATCCATTGTTGATGACATTTATCGAGAGATCGATAGACGACAATCAGTGATCTTGGTCCTACCTGATTTGTCAGCCGCATTTGATACCTGGGATAGGGATACTGAGGATTTACTGGATACTGTGTGGACAGAAATTGGTTTAAGAGGTACAGTTTTCCAATGGTTTCATTCATACTTAACTAGGACGAAACAGAACGTCTGCATTAATGGCCAATTTTTAACAGTTAAGCTCGATCCCTGTGGTGTACCACAAGGTTCCGTTCTGGGACCTATCTTGTTTAATATCTTCACCAAACCACAAGTATTGCCTCCAAATATGGCTTGTGTATTCACCTATTCGCTGATGATACTCAAATGTATGTTGGCTTCGAAGACAAGTCTGAAAATGCTGTAGTCGGTAACATTGAAGCATGTCTTCAGAAAATACACACATGGATGACTTTTCATTTTAAGAAACCTAATCCTGACAAAATTGAAGTTCTGTTCATCGTAACCAAACAGCAGTTAAAAAGGTCTAAAACAAACTGTCTAAATGTAGCTGGGGAAGTAATCACAGTATTGCAGAAGGCAAAGAACATTGTAGTGGTACTCGATTCAAACCTCACTTTTCAACCAAAAATTTCACCAGTAACGTCTTCAACCTTTCACCAAATTGAAAAACTTGGAAAAACTGAGACAATACCTTTAAACTGATAACCTCAAACGTCTAATACAGGTCCTAGTAACATCCAAACTTGATTACCATAATGGAATTCTGTATGGACTTCCTGATTATCAAATTCAACAATTGCAACGTGTCCAAAATACCGCTGCAAGACTTTTATCTGGGACCAGGAAGGAGGAATATATTACTCCAGTTCTGGAAAGTTTGCACTGGCTACCTACAACGCATCACTTATAAAATCCTCTTACAAACAAATAATGCCTTGAATTGCACAGCACCCAGTTACATAACAGACTTGATTATCATTTATATACCATCTTCTCAAAACCTCCTTATTGTCCCAGACTATTTCTTAAAACATTCAAACACGTGCCTTCAATTACACACCACCTTACTGCCAATTAAACGTAAACTACCCAAAACTGAAAAAGAAAAAAAAATCTCAAACTTTGGTAGCGCACTGGGAACCTCGTTATTAAATTCGGATGTAATGTAATGTAATGAAACTAATCTGAATTTATGGATTGACGCTTATGATTATCATTACTCGTTGCCGAAGAGCAAAACGTCAGATACCTCTCGTCTGTGACACCAAATCTATTTCATCTCCATCTTAAATACTTTGTATTTTAGGTTTGGTGTTAGTAAAAAGGACAAGACGTTGGTGTTTGATTTATCAATAGCAGCATGTTTTCAAAAAGACAAATGCCAAGCTGAATTTAATGTTTTCAGTGGTACAGAAATCCCACAATTTATTTGTGACTTGAACGCTAAGTTGGATCTGAAAGGTAATTTATCTTTGTTGAACAAAATAGAAGTGATGAACTCTTTGCAAAGTTTTGATGAATAATTATTTATGCACTACTCTTGTATTGCAGTTACTAGCAATAATACCCTTCATCTGGCTCATGAAGACATATTTCATCTCAATCTTAAATACTTTGTTATTCAGGTTTGGCTAGATTTACTATTCTTGAATTGAATTAACTATCTCAAGTTTTGCACAAAGTGAAATCAAGATAATAAATATTCAGAGATAACTGCTTCTGTTTACAAACTTTTGATGGTTGGTATTTTTATAGGATTTTCAGTTGATGATTGGGCTAACAACATGGGTATAGATTTTACTAATGGTTTACCAAAGAAAGTAGTTCAAGTATTTTTAGAACAGACTGGTATAGCTGAGATGATGTTAGATCAACCTTGTAAACGTGACAGTTTAAAATATCAACCGGCTCTTCCTTCCAATTGGAAAAATGGTAATTGAGGTTATTTTTAGAAGTAGTTTAAAGACATTTGGTACCCAAGAATCAATTTTTTTGTTCAGAAATTTCATAACGTGCAACGTTACCAATCATAAATATTTCTGATCGGTCAATATTGGATGAGGATTACATAGTATTGAACATGTTTCTTGATAGACAACAAACACCTTTCAAAACTAATGATTGTCAGCTAGCTAGATGCCACTTTTAATTCTAGATTGTCCAAGAATCAAGACCTTACCAGTACTGAAGGCACCAGTGAATTGTTATATACCTGACTATTGTACTGGTATTGACTGCTGTCTAGAAAGTGACTTACTGGGAATTTCATTAAACGCTCATCTCAATATTGATACTTGTAACTATGTTATTGAAGGAGCTATTGAGAAAATAGGATTCAAGATTTCAATTTTGGACTATGACTGGGGTAAGATCCCTTTTTATCTTCAAGTCTTAAGAGGACAATTGTTGAAAAATTCAATATATGAAAAGCAGATATTGAACACTGTTTTGACAAAGGGGGATTGTAAAAAAGACTATATCTTTTCAAGTGTGGGTGATATTTTCTATGCGCTGGACCTGTTCATAAAGATTTGAACGATTAACTTGAAAAAATACAATTTTTTGAATATTTTGTGTTAAATACCAGCCCGACACCACATCCATCACCTTAATCCTGATGTTTGTATGTTGTAGGAACTGAAGAAATAGAGCAACTGAGCGAATTCCTCTATTTGAAGTAAGTAGATCTACTGAAGTTCAAACGTTTACACAATTCTCCCATATGGAGTATCCGTCGTGCATTCTGTTTATTATCAGCTTTCGATACAAAATCTGCATTGTGACAGTTGCTTTAGGACTTCGGTTTCTTTGCAATGCGCCAATTTTTATTATTTAATTACAAAGTTCCCTTTGTTTTGTAATCCTTTTGTGTTCTTACTGTAGATTTAAAATTGATAGCCTGCTAGACCAGAAGATATTTATAGTTGACCTGTCTATCAAGATGTGTTTCCAAGGAGCAGATAACTGTGAAGTAGATCTACCTATTCTGAAACAATCTCAGATACCAATGCCAGTATGTAATATGGAGATGGGATTTACGATAAAGGGTAAGGGTACTTTTTCAGACTATATCCTTTCATAAGTTATGTTTAAATGATACTTAGATTACTATTAGTTTATAATTGTCTCTGTTGCTACAGGCCTGTCAAGGTCATTCGGACTGAAAATTGAGAAAGACACTCTTGATAACAGACTGCACATCCTGAAAATTCTTAAATCATGGTTGTTTTCCAGATTTCTCTTTGAGAAAATGGCTTGAAGAAAGAGGAGGAGATCTAACTAATATTTTAGCCAATCAGTTGATGGATACACTGGGTATCACCAAATACCTCAAAGATACTCCATGTACATTGGTCCATGAACCATTCAGAACAGCTTCTATGAACAACGGTTGGAATAACTGTAAGTATATCATTTGACATAATACCATTAACAAAATAAAGCCCAAGTACTTACGATCCGAACCGCAAAACGAAACCCGAAATCCGCAACAACAATACAATGACAAATGAAATGAAATTAATGGAATTTTACGTCCATTTTACAGTTTTGCTCCACGATGAAGACGGGAAAATAATGACCAATGACAACAGCTAATGAACTTTTCATAAGAGAAAGTATATCAATCATAGATGCGGAAGTATTTTAACCTAGCTGGCACCATGCCTGTTATTGCTGCTCAATTTTACACATCATCGTATATATTGATAATTTGAATAATTTATTTGTCGTAGGTATTGAAAACACAGGTCTTGTTTCTGTTCAAATGATTTTGTTGATTCAGCATATTCGGCAGCAGTCAGTTGTCAACCTTTAAAGGCTTTACAAATTTTAAGACACCCTATCAGATCAGAATTGTATATATTAATTTCATTTCAGTGTGTCCATTGAACATAACGTTACCAACTCTAAATGATCGTATGGCGTGTTATATTCCTGATTATTGTACTGGTATAACTTGTTGTGTTGATGTTAGAGAAATATCCAGAACATTCCAGGCTCATCTCTTTATTGATACCTGTAATTATATATTCAGTGTGGGAATCGAGAAGATCGTTTACAATATAACATTGTTTGATTATGTTTGGGGTAAGAATTGTTTATATTATAATATTGATTGATTATGTTTGGGGTAAGTATTGTTTTCAATATAACATTGGTTTATTATGTTTGAGGTAATGTTGTATATAATGTAACAGTAGTTGATTATATAGCATTGATTGATTGTGTTTGGAGTAAGTATTGTTTATATCACAATAAACAATAACAATGGTTGATTATGTTTGAGGTAAGTATTTTCAAAATAGAAAAATTCGTCTCTTTGTATTAACCGCTTTTCAAATAATTTTATAGGAACTGAAGAAACTATTGATGTTGGTGGAATCTTTCAACTAAAGTAAGTTATATTTATAGAAAGTGTCAGTTCAAACATTAAGTGCATGTCCAATAAACCAGTTTGTGGTGTATTTAGATTCTGAATGATTGATTGTCATTAACACCTACAAGGAACAAAACTGCTGAAATGATTCTTAAACCGTATCTTATGACTTTTTGATTACAATATTGGTATTAAAGAAATTATAGAAACATATTCCTTAGTTTAGTCAGACAGTTTTGCAGAGATGGCAAGGCCAGTTGCAGGTCGACTTCTGGTGTTCTGGATCTTATGTTATGTATTGTATAACCATCTTACATAACATCTTATTTATTCAGATTTCAAATTGAAGATCTAGCAGGAGAGAAACAATATCTGGTCAATTTAAAGATGAGTGCCTGTTTTACTGCTGGAGAGAAATGTGACTTGGAAATACCAGTTTTTACTGATATGAGAGTTCCTAAATTGTTATGTGACTGGGATGCTACTCTTGCTTTGAAAGGTATTCACGTTTTTTACATGGATAGGTGCGGAAAATTTAATGATTCAAATAGAATGTTCTGTGTGTTAGAAGCCTGAGGGCCCATGGTTCGATTTCGTCGAGATACGTTACGGTACTCCCGGATCAACTTTCAACCCGATTTCCCCCTATCAATTTCTGAATTGCTCTTTCAGTCTGAATTGAACAACAATTTGTAAGCTGTAACGTTGTTTTTTGTTCTTTGTGCTGTTGATGGACCCAGTGGGTATATTATATACAAGTATTGCGTGGGGCATTGTAATCAGCATCATTACTGATGGAATGCAATCTTCTCATCCTATGGCTGAAGATATATTTTATAAACAATAATACATGAGTTAGGCAATATTTTCATTTTTATTTTACTTACAGATTTCAAACTAGATGAATGGATAGCAGATCAAGGTGGACAAATAGGTGGACAATTAACTGATACAATCATACAGAAATTACTGGAGAAGCTTGGACTTTCTGCTTATCTACTATCACCTATGTGTGACAGAAAGAG